TCCAGAAACTTGGTTCGTCCAGGGAATATCTCTACACCCGATGGCCGCATCGGGCATTGTAGCAAAGCATCGCGTCCCAATGCCAAGGCCTCGCTCCATTCCAGCATGAAGTGATGGAACTCGCGAACAATCTCACAATCACCTGGCTCACCACCATCATCGTCCATCCAAACGGGGATTGTTGTTGGGATGTGGTCTACAATACCCCATCCGGAGCCTTGCAGGTGAATCTTGTAGCTTCGAGTCGGACTCTGAACGTATCGAGTGAAGAGATAGCGAGCAATACGGGCTTGAACTCGTACGCAGTTCCAGACAAACGGACTCCGAAGAAAGCCTCGCACTTCCTCGCGGATCGCTCGTGTTGGTTCATCCAAGTCGTTGAGGTGCTGAAACCAAAAAACAGCCGCATATCGCAAAAATGCATGTTCTTGGTTGGTTTCAAAGTCATCGGGTAGTCCGCTCGGGTTTGCGTATCTCTGATATTGCAAGTACCTGAGACAGGTCCGTGCCATTTCTAGTGACCCGTCCTGCTTTGAGACAAAGTACGTACGAAGATGTTGAGCAACACCAATCTCATCCGGATCACTGGAGAAGAGATCTTGGACGGACTTGTGACCAAGTTTGATGATTGGATTTTTCGGGGTTCCTCGTACGGATTGGTCCAGAGAGATAAAAGAGCCACAGAGTTCTTGTATCAAGGATTGTGATGGTAGTCGAGTGACTGAATAATCGGTACTGTCCAGTCTGACTGCTAACGCGTCCCGTAACTCGTTAAAGGAAAGAGGCTGCATTGTTGAGACAAGAATGAGGATTGTTCGTCTTGGATCATGTTAGCCAACAACTCATTTTTACACGAGTCAATCTAAAGGGTACCTACCTGGCAAGTTCTTGCTCCCTCGCGGATCTGGTTTTAAGACCATCAAGACTGCGCAAATAGCAGCCGGTCAAACCTTTTGGCCATGTGCTCATTTCCTCATGAATATCTTCCTCGCATGTGAGACCTTCTTGAAGGAGAGTATCAGTCCTAAGCTTGGCATATAGAAAGTTTCCATCCGCAGCCTCGATAACACACTTTCGACACCAGGTACTCTGAGAATCCCTCAGTCGATCCTCAATGTAGACTGTGATATCAGACTTCAAGTCCTTCCCCGTAGGCGTAACCTCTATTGCACCGAGGTTCCGCATACAAGTCTCAATTCTCCCTTCCCTTCTGCTGGTGAAAAACCACTTGGCAATCCCGTGACGCTGAGACCCTTGTGCAACCAAAGAGCTAATCATGCCCATTGCTGAAAATTCAACCGGTTCTCGATCGTTATCCTGCGCATGGAGGCATTCATCTAAGCCGTCAATGACGATATGCACTCGTGGAATGACCTTGAGAAGCTCATGCACCACCCTTCCAGCAACAAACGGATCCGTCATCATGGGCGAAAAGTGTTCTTGCTCTTCTTCCCAAAGCTTCTTGAGACCATCTGGTACCCGTTCTGCCATTCTTAGAAGCTGCAGTGCGAGAGATCGAAAGATGTTGAAGTGCTGTCTGAGTGTTGGGTCGTCATATGAACAAAAGTGGTATACTACCCTTTGACCATTTTGCCTGAGATGATTGATGATGGTGGAAGCCAGGATGGTTTTGCCAGAGCCCGGGGCGGCATTATACCAGAGTATGGAGTTATCAGTGGAATCGTACCATTGCTTGAATCTGAGGTCTTTGAGAATCCAAGAACAAGTTCCCGTTTGATGAATGTGTAATTTTGAAGCCAACTCGTGACGGACGTCTAGCTTGCTGGGGTCTTGGCCAGCGCGGATCCATGGGACAATTCGATCTTTTAAGCTGTCGTTGCGTGCTTCGTAGTTGAGCTCTGCCTCGTTCGAGACGAGAAGGAACTGGATTGACTCTCGGTCGGACTTGATGAGTCGAAGGCAATCTTCAATTTCGTGGTCTACCGGACGGAAAATACCTTTTGCCAAGGAGATGAAGGCCTTTTCGGACAGGACCTTGGATGATTTCCACCAAAACTGCAACACGTTTTTGTAGGCCGTGATTAACTTGATTTGCATATCGCGGCTGTGTGAGTGTGCCTTGAATATCCGTTCATAGCAACGGAGGTAGATGTCGATATCATCGATGGCCTCAAGAATACTCTCGAAGCACTCCTGCATTTTGATGGCCACCCCCAGTAAAACACGGGCACCACAAAAGACAGCGGCAACAGCCATGGGACTTGCCTGAAGAAGAGTCTCACACAGACCGGCTATTCTGCAAAGAGAGGAAATGAAGGGTTCGAGTTTCGTAATGGCTTTGTTGGTGGCGCTATGTTTCCGCTTTTGCGAAACATCCTGTAAGAAGCTGCGTAGTTGCTGGGCGCATTGTGCAGATTGTTGTTTCTCTTTAAAGGCCATTGGGTCTCGATCATGCTGGTCCTGGAGGTCTTTGATGGCTGCAAAGAAAGGACCCTTTGCATCTTGTCGGCGGACTTCAGAGAGAAATTCGTCAACCGCCGATGAAAATAAATTTCCAATTGATGATGCCATTTTTTGGTTGCTGATTGTTGTGGATGGAAAAAAAGCAGGATGGGCACCATGGGACTCGACGGGAGATATGTGGTGGTGAGGCGGGAGGAGGTAATCTCCTTATCGGACCAATCAAAGTGTAGTGATTAATACGATGGGATCCCTCAACAAAGAGTTAGACCAAATACGGAAGCATGCGCGAGTGAGGGGTTGGGTGCCTGATCGCTTGGACGAGATGGTCTTCAATGCCCTCATCTCGTCGTGCGGGGTTTTGTTTCATCATTAAACTTTATTCGACAATTGACAATGACCAAAATGACCGAGTTCGGCAAACGTCCTGAACACAGGGTCTACCAACGACGACTTAATAAAAGAGACCAAGAGGAAGACATCCTCGTCGATGGATTGGACGCCGCCTACGCCGTCGCTGATAAAACGGGAACCCGCGAATATGCTCTCGTAATTTGGCAGGTCTTCAACAAGAGCCACAGACGAGAGAATACCATTTTGGCTGTTCAATCCCCTTACATCTTGCGTGCCTTCCGAGATGTCATCAAGGCTCACCCTTCGGTTCCGTCAAACTTTGAACAACCCTTGGAAATGGAGAGCCCCTTTCAGATGCTGATTCACCACTGGGATGATCTCGATTCCTACCGGAAAACTACCGATGATGACGATGTCCGCCTCCACATGGGATTGCTGTTCGACTTTATGAATTCAGAGCTGGGTCCTGATCGAGAGAGATTATTGACTGCCATCGAGAGCAAGACTGTCACCTATGCGACTCTCTGGACCATCTTTGTTCCCGGTCGCTTACTTTACCTCGAAGACAATGGCCATCTTTGGCTCCTGCGGTGCGTCAAGACTGCCTACGAGGAATACAACTCCATCGGCAAGGTTTGTCATGTTTACGGCCAGTATACCGACTACAATGGCAAGATCAGGGGAGACGCCACCCACAAGGTCGATATCAGGCAAAAAGACTACTTTGGAGGTGACAATCCTGCCGTCATCACTTCTCTGCCAATATACCCCATTGATTTCTGGTCCAAGGACAAAGACCAGAGATCCAAACTGGAAGAAAAGCTGCGAGACCGTGGTAAAAGATTCCTCACCATGAAAGGGATCCAGCTTTTGCATTACGATGGTCTTGCGCGATATCTGAAGGGTGAGTAGAACAACACTTTCTTCCATATGAAGCGTTATTTTCCTGACACAACAGCATCCAGAACCGCCGTATAGCTTTTATCACTACAGCATCGAGACAGTCAGCGGATACTGGCTGCCTTTTACAGAAACAGGGCGCGTGGTACTTGACAGAATTCTCATCGATGAGGAGATTCCATTGAACCGGGCAAGTGTGAAGAAGAATGACGATGCCGATCCTTTGCTTGCCCCACCGTTTGCTTACGGTTTCTCACCTACACGCAAGATGTGGTGCAAGTACTTTCTTGATAATCTCACTGATATCACCTGGAAGGACCAGGCATGGGACAAGCTGCTCCTCAAGGAAGCACAGAAACTTACACTGCGCGCCTTGGTTGAGTCCCACGTATTCCCAGGTAACGCGAGAGATCAGGCAGAACAAAAGGGAAAGGGTCTGGTAATTCTCTTGCATGGAAGTCCAGGATCAGGAAAGACACTCACTGCCGGTTAGTTCTGTACCACCCTTGAAAAAACTCTGGCTAACAGGAAAAAGAAACCTCCGCCGAGGCAACAAAACGCCTTCTACTTCCCAGCAGTCTCGACGAGCTCAACAAGGACAACTGGCCCTCCGAGTTTGAAGTCAGATTGAAGCGTCTCCTCTACTACGGAACCAGATGGAACGCCGTCCTTCTTCTCGACGAAGCGGACGTTTTTTTGGAGAAACGAGAAGACTCGCCAGGAAGTCAGCAAAGAAATGCTCTCGTAGCAGGTATGTTGCAGACCATATGGATCTCGGTCGGAAACGTCTACTAACAGCTTTCTAGTTTTTCTCAAACACCTCGAATTCTTTTCTGGCATGGTCTTCCTCACCACAAACCGCGTCAAGGCATTTGACCCTGCCATGAAGTCTCGCATTCATCTGGCACTCGGCTACGGACCTCCGGACATTGAGACACGCCGGCAACTCTGGATGCAATACCTGACACCAATTCCACCCGAGAATATCGACATGGATGTAAACGAGGACATTGACGAGCTTCTCACCGAGCGTCTGAACGGGCGCGAGATTGCATACGCAGTGCATACTGCACGCACGATTGCTCGTCACAAGGGAGAGCCGCTCAGATTGGATCACCTCCGAACTGTTGTTGAGGTCAGGAGTGATTTTGATAAGTCTCTGCAGGAGATTGCACAGAGGGTGTCTGGGACTGCTGGATTGGATAGGAAGGATTCCATTTTGCATAACGAGAGTAATGATTTCAAGTCTTGACTGGGGGAATGGCAATAAGAGAGAGGTGGGGAAAAAAAAGAGGTTGAATGAAAATCAACTTGTTTGGAAGTACCGATCCGCCCAGGGGTCGAACCTGGAACCTCCTGATTTACTATATCATCGTAGTCAGACGCGCTGCCATTACGCCAGCGGACCTTTTGTTTTTGTTGAAAATCGGTACAGATTACATGGATATTTGTGTTTGGATTTTGTGGAATAAAGGGTTTTATGTCGGGTGGAGTCAAGTGTATGCAGGTGTGTTTGACTCGGGGTTATGCTGGAAAGCTGGAAAGACAAGCAGACAGGGATTTTAATAAGTAAAATAGACTCTAATGACTATTGAGCAGATATGCTGGTCAAACTTGAAATAATGGGTTTTTTCTTTTTTTCTTCTTTTTTTTGGTGTCAGAAGGCGGCAATTTCACACAGCCATTCAACCAATCTGTCTGTTCAGTATCTGCAAAGAATGAAGTAGATGTTTGCAAAACGACAGCAGAGCACCTCGGATTTCAATATGGGCGGGGTAATGAAAAAGAAGAGACGATTTTTTCTGTACAGACCTGCAAAGGCCTATAAGTGACAATTTCTTACCCCCAAATTCTCACAAACACTCTTCACTTTCTTCTACCCTCAATAGGTCTCCCAACACTTTCTTCGGCGCAAATGGCAACCACATACCAACTCCAAATCAAAACCATCTTCAATACCCTTTCCCCCCGCGAAAAACTCTACGCCCATCATCTTTCCCAAGCCGCATGGCAAGGCAGCAGGATCATTCTCCGACAAACCTCCCCCGAAAGCGCAGGCATCTTTGACTTTATCCTCGAACTACACAACGCATCTCAAGGGCAATGGGCTAAACTGACTGAACAAACCGGCGTCGCAGGTCAAGATATCGATAACTTTCTGGATTACGCAGGACAGTTCCTTTCGCATTTGGGTAATTATTACGCTGATGGGAATCGAAAGGTGGTTCCACGGGTTTCAGCGGATTCTCTGAGAAAGATGGCGGGCATCTCATCTGCGGCGATTTCTATCCTTGATGATATTCTTGAGCCGTTGCTTGATGTGGGGACGATTAGCTTGGGGTTTCTGGGTGCTGGGAGGCAGTCAATGTATTATCCTGGAGCTGAGATTGTTACAAAGGAGGAGATCAGCGTGATTGCGGGGGTTATGGAAAGGAATTTGATTGAGCCGGAGAATACGCGTTTGAGAAAGAGGGTTGAGGATGGTAATGCTGTTTTTGATGTTTTGAGGGCATCTGCTGAGATTTCCTTAACTCCCACTGAATTGCCAACAGCAGATGATGGGGTTACAGTGCGGCTTGTATGCGGAGACCACGCGGTTGAACTCGCCAAAATCTGTGCAGCTCTACACGAGGCAACTAAATACGCATCAAACGACACGCAAGTCAAGATATTGGCCGAGTATATTGAATCGTTTACAACTGGAAGCACAGAGGCATATCGCAGGTCACAAAAGACCTGGGTTACGGATCAGTCACCTAGGATAGAGAGTATTTTTGGTTTTGTCGAACCTTACCGAGATCCATATGGTGTGCGTGCCGAATGGGAGGGTATAGTCTCCATCTCTGATCCATGCGAGACAGAAAAGCTTGCCGGGTTGGTCAAGGAATCTGCCAAGGTTATTTCTCTGCTTCCTTGGGCGAGTGATGAGAATGACGGAAAGGGGCCCTTTGAGACAAGTCTTTTTCAGTCCCCGGATTTTACCATCGTTCACGGTTAGTCACTTCCCTCTTGTCTGTTGGATAACATCTAACATTTATAGCACTTGCCTGTTGCGCAAGCGTTGTCTGGGACGGTGTCAATCTGCCAAACGTATGTATCTTGCCATCGCCTACCTGATTACCACAAAAAGCTCTAACTGATAGCTCTACAGTACAGCGATATCCGCGAGACATGAGACATAAAAATATCCTCTTCTGGAATCTAATGACCATCAGACTGGAATCACGCCCCGTCTCTCGCTACATTCATCCCTCTGAGACAGAACCCCTTAAAACCCACACTCAAACAATCAACTTTATCACCACATCACTCCACGAACTAATCGGTCACGGAAGCGGAAAGCTCCTCAGCGAAACCGCCCCCAATGTATACAACTTTGACATAAACCACCCTCCAATAAATCCCTTGACGAACCGACCTATCGAGTTGTGGTATAAACCGGGACAAACGTGGACTAGTGTATTTGGTAAACTGGCTACGACGGTTGAAAAATGCAGGGCTAATTTGATTTCGTACTATATTGCTGACGAAAAATAAGTTTTGAGTTTGTTTGGCTTGGGGGATGAGGTCAGAATTTCAGACTGTGAGTTTCTCTCTCTCTCTCTCTGAAAAACCTGAGTGTCGACTGATGTACAGTAATTACTAGTGATATATTATGTGTATATGACGGTTGGGATTAAAGGAATTGATGCGCTCGTTTCGTTTAATGCTGAAGACGGATCATGGGGTGATCAACATGCCAGGGCAAGTTGTCTGTTTGGTCAGTAGAGCTAGATCACTGATAAATTTTCAACATCAGGGCTCATTCGTTATTCTGAAACACCTATTAAAAGATGCCGGAGGAACCCTTGTCGTTGACGACTCCGAAGGGTCTTGTTACGCCCCAAGCGTAATATCCCCACGTAGGATCGCTGGGCGATTCCCGAGGTGCCGGACACCTCATGCAATCATTGGGCGAGGAATGGGA